GCCAAAGGGTCCACATTTCGCCATATCTTCGTATTACGTGTGATTGCGTTACTTTTACGACTCCGATCACTCCCATTTGTCGAGTTCAGTGTGTGTGTGTGTGTGTGTCTGTGTGTTCAGCGATTGCATAAGTATTTTACATATTGTAAAATTAATCTTGCTTGTCCCATTGATACTTCTATGTAAATACCAATTGTCATAGGCTAAATAACAACAGTTCCGTTATTCTACCCGATACAAGAAACTCAATATCTAAGATCCTAAACGCAAAAAATCTATTTGTATAGTGACATTTTGACATAATTCAATATGCCTTGCATGCACTTCATCTTCTTAATCTGTAATTAATAAATCTTCTTAATGCACTTCATCTGTAATTAATAGCGACGGGTCGCTAAATTTTATCAGACATTCAATATCGATCGTCAAAAAAGTAATGGTACAGCCAAAGCTTATGGTGGCGTACAACTTCACAATTGGGTTTGGCGACAAAGATACAAGACGTTTGTTTTACGGAGGGTATTGTGTTTATGTCGTAAGAAGCATATTTTTGCAGCTCCTTGTCTATTTTTTTTATACATAGGCGTCATTTTTTTACCGTACAAATCACACCGTGACACAACGAAGAATTGATCTGAAATGTTTTCCTGCACTCTTTAAGGCTTCGGTGGAATAATCACATACTTTTTTGTGAGAGTTACTCCACTGGGAAAACGCCACCGAACCGCGTAGGTATTGACAGTAGCATTATTTGAGTTGTCTCTACATACTTTGGCAAACGAACCCATCATCATTGCATGCCAGCTTTTGAAAGCGAGAGTGGGAATGTCGTCGTTAGAAGTTGGCATCAATCTGTCTTCATCCAGTTTTCAAATGGATCTCGCTGACCGACTTTTCGGATGCGTACAGATGTGCTTGACACCCCCCGACGCTCCAACGCTCACAACGCGCCAGCGCTGTCAACTACTGGGTTTCTGCTAAAGCAGAAACTCCTGATCAGTACATTCACTTTCGGCGGCAAAGGAAGCAGTAACGACGAGAGCTGTCTGTCTCTGCTTTATTTCATCATACGCAAGCGTCGGTACCGATATATACACACGACACAAATCGACACTCCTATACGGCTCTAGAACAGGTACCCTGTGTACGGCTGTTCATACTCAGATATCTGCGTGACAACGTCCCAATAATCAGTGGCGATAGATCACACATACCGATGGAAGTGTGACTCGCTTCGCTGGATCATCACATCATCGACACGCCGCGACGCTCTGGCGCCGATTTGGGAATTTGAAGCCGGCCTATTACGGTCACGTCACGTTTCATCTTGTTGGCTTGCACAATGCAAATCAAAGCCCTGGAACTACGCTCAGCGGGTAGCTGACGTTAGCTGCTAACCCCGCGTTGTCGGCGGCCTGGCGTAACGTGATTCGTACAACGCGATCTATCCCAGCAGAAGAGTGACGAATGAACGAGTAGCATTTTGTTGAATTTTGACGTCGCAGACGATGACGGCGACAGTAATCACGCAGATGGAAACGACATTGGTTCAACAAAGTAGCACTCTTCTTCTTATGGAATCTATTTGTTTATTTGATATGTTTATATATTATCCCCGAAATACCGAGCGGTGCTGGAGCAAGAACCCATCGCTCGTTCTTTCCTTTTGATTTAGTTTGGTTCCATTGCGGTTTTGCATAAAGCCCTGTTCGTTATTTGTAATGTTCCCTCGTTGTTCAGCCCACCCCGTCACTCTCAGCATCAGTCCACGTCTGCTTAAACTTTTTTGGCTAGCGTTGCCAACCAAATATATATATATGTATATATAGCATCGTTGGCAGCGATTCGAACAGTGAAGAAGATAGTTAACAACTGTGAGTGATGCCGATCATGGCGATGTAGTTGTGGCAACGGCCGATAGATGGCTGCACTACTCACTAGCATAGCACTGCCAGCGGCGTGATGGTTGCGCGCATGCGCGCAATACAAGCACGCACGCTAACGAACTACGTATACACAAACATTGAAGATTATCATAGATGCATGCATATGCATATGTATCGTCGTTCTGTTGATGACACACGAAACAACGACCTCTATTTTTGGTGCTCCTTTAGTCGAGCATTATAGAAGATCCGTGGCACGTATATGCATTGCAATCACAAATAAAATGCGACTCTCGCTCCAGATTCGGTATAGCACAGTGCTGATGGCTCATCATTTGGTAACTTTGTAATCATATAAGGGAGCTTACAGATGGCGGTGGTGCAACACAGTAATGTAGTATGCATTTGATGGATGATCGTAGCTTTCTGTATGTGAGCGTAGCTTTCTGTATGTGAGCTTATTTACTTGCTTACACACAGGGGTTCGCGTTTCCGGCAAACGACTACGAAGTGTAGCGGCACAAGGCAGGAATACACATTTGCATGAAGTCTATAGAGGACGAATTCTTTTTATAATAATGTTGCTGACTGAGCGGACGCTGGTATAGATGGTTAACCCATTCAGGGAACACTGATCAATCAAGAACGTACCGTGAACTTGAACCATCGGTTCAAAAATACAATCGTAAATACCTGCAAGAGCAGAAAAACCATAAGCCGATGCATTTACACAGGTTTAATTGGTACAAGTTCAATTTCGCGCGTCCATTATTATATAAGAGAGCTTTATAAATGATCAACAATCACGGCGGACGCCAAGCACGGCAAATGCTAAACTGTCCCATTTCATCGCATGAATACAATTCTTTTGTACACATATTTAGCTTATTCTTTATTCTGGTAGACGACATTTTTCTGGGTAAATGTATATTTTCCTAATAAATGTTGTATCTCGCTGTACTGTCGCCTTCGGAAAATGATGCAGTACGAGAATTAGACCCTGCCTGCGAGCAGAAACCGGTACGGCATCTAAATAAATATTATGTGCATTAATATAATATCCAAACTATATTAATCTGGATATTTATCGGCTTCCAGAATTTCTTGGGGCTCAGAACAAAACTTTTCAAACCGCTGTTTTTCATTCTACTGCTGACGTTGACCTTGTTATTGTAAGAATATCTATAAGATTATCGTTCGCCATGGACAGTGTGCCGACGCATGAGCTTTATTTTTACGCGCAAAGAGGCGCTCAATCTAAGCTCGGCTCACAGACGCGGGGGAACGTTTGCCACACTGCGTACACTCAGCCCAAAAACCTTCTCACTAATGTTGAATATTTAACCGTGTTTTTTATCGATGAAGCGTCATATGACCCATTAAATGACAGCAAACGTGCAGAATAGCTCAACACTTTCCAATGAACTGGGTCGGTTTTCGTCTACACGCTATGAACTTGATTTTAAGAATTTTCTAAGAACAAACGACAGCGTAAGAAAAATAGAAGCGATATTTTCTTTAATGCTCGTACAAAAAGGTATGGCTTAGAAAAAATTTGATTTCTTTCAAAATTAACAGCTTTCCTGCTAAAGCATATATATATATATATATATATATATATATATATATATATATATATATGCTTTGCTTCCTGCAGCCCCCGTTTTTATAATCATGTTCATTTCATGCATCAAATCGGCTCGTGTTTCATGCGGCAACCGATATAAATCCCTAAGGATAGGTAGCCTTCTTCAACTGTGCCATTTTTTAATAATTCATATTAACTATGTCATAAGCGGCATTTAATCTAGGTAGTAAACAATATATGAGTTCTGCCTTCTCATGAACGCCATAAACGTCTCGAACAATTATACACTTGAAAAATATATGAAGATAAGCCCCGCAGAACTGAAGCCCAACGAAGTCCCAACAACAACAGTATTATTTATTCGTTGATCGTTAACAATGATAATGGTATAAAATTGAAAAAAGTGGCCTTTGTTGCCGCACGGGTCTGACTGCATTCAACGAAGCAACAATGGCGTCGTATCGGTAGACGCTAACGCATTGTAGTGGGTAACGTTTACATCTTTGTGACACCAAATGATATTAATAATCATCATAATTATAGTACTTGAACTTCTAATCACCATTGCCCTGCAGCTACTATTACCTATCACAGTTCTTCATCGTCTCAGCTGCGTGTCAACAAATCGTTCGCGTTTTCGACCAGTCATTATACGTTGTTGGTTATCTTCGGCTGCGTCAACAAATACGCCCCCCCCGTCTTCGGTCCCGTTGGCAAGCCCACCCACGAGAAAGGTCGGTACGACCTTCGGTAGAGACCTGCGGCTCATACTATCAATCAGCGAACGTTTGGCCTTTCACGTTTGTAGCGTCTACAGAGTGGCCGTCGTTGGCCCGAATCAGAAAGCTTCATGTATTTATTAGTATGTGTGTACTGGCATCATATAATAATCACAACAAGTATATTTTTAGCGCCGCCCAGTTGAACGTAACCATGCTGACGCCAAAACACAAAAAATATTAACAATATTAGTATTCATATTGTACATATCAAAAATCAAAAATGCGTCATTAAAACTTACGAAGCGAAAATTTAAGCGTAAAAAAATTCAACTTCCTGAGCCAAGCTCGTACGATGTCCGGAATTTTAAATCACCGTGTCACCGCTCTGTTAGGCGGTTTGTTACGGCTATTCTTAAATTTTTTAGTCCCTCCCATTTCCCGTCTCTGCTCACGACACAAGCGTATGTGTCAATTATACGGACTCATGCAGATGTGTCTATAAATGGGCAGCGTACAGGTGATTGTTCGTTCTTTTTCTCGGTAAGGGTTTACCTCGGGTGGGTCTGACATTTTTGTACTGTTGGCACGCCGCACGATATTGGCACAAGCCGTCAGCTTGAATTTACCAATGTATGAGTAATCGACAAATTTGTTCTAATCTGTACAGACATCCCCCGTCTTGTCCATCGCAGTAAGGCCGGTATTCCTGAACGTTTCGCGCAAGTGACAAATCGGTTGCTGAAGTTTCTAGTTTTGCGGTTCGCAACATTGAACAGCGCTATCGAATACTATGTATAACTTAACGGCGATGGCGATCCAGAACGCATAATTGATGTTTTCCCGTGTTGATTTTTGCTTTCGTTGTATTCTTTGTCATCCAGTTACATTAATCCGTTTCATGATGGCATCGAGTCTGTTCCTCGTCACCGGCGACAATCTGATGGAAAAAAGCACGCTGAGATTAGCTAGGCGATAGGGAAAAGAACGTTTTTTTTTCCTTAGTCTCGAGTAGTCAACAAACGAAAGTTATTTTTTGAACTTGTTTACATTTTCTCCATTGAGTCCAAACGATGGCCCAGGGTAGATTCTACGGCAGCACAAATCGAATTTAATTATATATTCAACGTTGTAATTTTCAAGTGAAGCGGGTCGCCCAAGTTAAAACTTATATTTGAGATTAAGATTTTCAGCAGAGAATTGATTCTCTCACCTATACGTATATAAGTAACTTCTATTGACACTGTTTACTATAATATAATATATAAATAACAGCATGCGTATAACATGATAGTATAGGCGATATGCAAATCGTATATATATCTAAATAGTTTTTTGTGTATACACTCTTTTAATTAGATAATTTATTTGAAAAGATTTTGACAGAGGTGGCGAATTTAACTTCGAACAGGACGTAGCACATGCATACTATTATCATGGTGTATGAGCATATTTTGATGAGAATCTTCCAAACAGATGGGTCGGGCAAAAAGGCCCTATGCAATACAAAGCCCCGTCCATTCCATACGCCTTACGCCAATGGATTTTTCTGAGACTCTACCTTAAAGGGAAAGTTTACGCCTAAGAAAACCGACGACATGTGATGATTTAAAGGTAACAATTGAATTTATAACCAATGGCCTAGTGTTTTCAGTGACGAGAACGGTAATAATTATGAGTGTCGGCGATAGCGAGAAAAAAAGTTGTACATTTTAGGTAGACTATTTTCCAATGTAAATATATTATATATTAATAATCTGAATAAAAACTGAAATTATGATCATTCAAACTATGTAAACACTTTTTGAAACACCCTATATATGTATGTATGTATATATATATATAGTAATTAGGAATTGGCTCACACGTTAACCTGTCATTGGCGTAATTGCGGTTTCGAATGCTTCCCAGCTTGAGCCCCCCGTTGCAACTGATACTGCAACTATTGCGGCCATATTCTACAGTTGCGTCGTCAGCTTCAGTGTCGAGAATAGCAAAAAGAGCCATGAATATGGCCCCAGCCAAAAGCCGCATCGTAATCAGTAACGGTGTGCTACTTGTTTTGCATTTGTTTCTGAGTCTTGGCCAAACAGAGGCAAATGGCGGGCTAATTAGATCGGACACGGGGCTTGCTTCCACGATAGCACCAGCTGATGTTGGCTTGCAAATAAGCCTTCGTTTTCTTACTCATTATCAGCCTATCACCACCAGCAAAAATCGCTCACGACGTTATAAAACATGGCCGGTCGTATAGGCGAACAGGCTAGATTCGCTCGAACGTTCTGCGTCATCCGTTTCGATGACTCCTGGAGCGGCCTTTGCCGCCGTTGTTCCACCTGCATGAATCTAAAGCAGTGTATATGCCCCGTCTTATCATTTCCTATGCTGCTTTGCATTTTCCTTCGCGCAGATAACGACGGGCGATCTTGCAAGGAACGGAAGAATCTGTCGACTGGTTCGCTAAGCTCACTCATGATTACTGCCTTTAGGCATTCGTAGCGCACGCGTAAGCCGTTCTATACAGTTAACAATTACGCAACGTTATGTAGACATTATATAGCGGTACTGGTTCGAGGATAGCATAGGACGCTAGAAAAAAGGTCGAATCATCAGCAGAAGTTGAACATATTCGTGTTCAAGGGTGACGCGCATGTGCTTACCCGAACATTAATTTTAGGTCGTGCCTAAATTTAAATTCAGCTTTGGAGCCAGCTGCAGTTGGTTGTTCCTTTATCTGTTTGTGCGTACGGTAATCAGACGTCGTTTGGGAAAAAAATGGCGACAGCGTTCTAACTGGAAGAGAAAGTTAACGACTGACTTCCACCCTGGAAAGGACTTTCTGCTAGTGTTGTTTATGCAATCTACGACGAAGAAGCGCATGCCATGGCGATTACAACACAGTAGATATTATGTGTGGGTAGATGTGATATCTCTTTTGAACTGAAAGCAAATTGAATGACCGCATGCAGCGGACACCTGCGATGTCTTGAAGTCGCTTAAGCACCCTCCGTTACGAAAGGGTGCCGTCAGCTGGATAACAGAGATAATAGTCAGTTGAATTGTTACGATAGTTTGCAAAAGGAAGCATCCTGCGAATTGTAAGGAATCATGGCAAAGATTAAATATTTGTATATATAAAAAAACTGATGAACAAGTATAGTGCAATGATTTGAAAACATTCGTAGAACGCCATAGAAATGTCCGTTTGCAGTTTGCTCTCATCGAAGTTTTGCTACATATAGGTCAAAGTTGAGAACGTGTGGCAATATCGAGAGATCGCACAATCGTTCGATGTCCCCCATCAATGCTGGGGCAGAATTACTCGTCTACAATAATGATTAGTTGACGCGATGTTTAAGCCAAAAGACTGGGCTTATTCTATTACGATCATCGCATTGCTTAATGTATAGATCGATCACTACATACAGCTGATAACTTTACTCAGTTTGTTTCAGCTAGTAACGGTACCGATGTTCTCACCGTAGTAGCACCCATCGTGAATGCTATACTAATTTATTGGTTGCCGTAATGGTCTGGCCGCCGAGTTTCTGTTGCCCTTTGCGACTCACAGTTATCCGCAAGTATTCATAAAGACGTCTACGTATCCGTCGTGTCGATACGAGAAACGTTGTCATCTAGTTACACAGTAGGCCGCATAAAGAAATAATGAACTTCTTAATCAGTCAATCAATCATGTTATCTGTAATAGTTACAATACAACGATCAGCCATTGGAAAGCGTGAAGAAGAAGTTGCATAGGTCCATTTGTTATAACATCGTTTTGTTGGTGATTTGAAGACGTTACGTTGTTCCTTGACGTGAACGCTCGCTTGAGCGAGTCCGATTTTTCTCTCGGGTCTCTTCATTAGGGATTATTACCTCACCTATGGCCTAAAGCCATGTCGGATCATTAACTGTTTAACTTTATTGGTGAATATATGTTTGAGGTAAAGCGGACGTTCACCCTTCACGTTACTTCAACGACCTCGCCAGGTCCCTTCTTCTCGACGTTGCTTTCTGCATACGACTCATATACATTCGGATATATTTAATTGATATATAGAATTGATAATGTATACGGCGCCTGTCGCTACTTGGAGGGATTTGTTCACAGCAGATGAGATGCGCAGACCAACGATCGCGTACTAAAGGCAAGATAGCTTGGACCTCTTTTTAATTATCATGTATATTAAAATCATTATCTAATCTTTGCACTGTGTTACATGTATTTGTGCCGGCCGTTCAAAAATGTCCTTGAGCACACGATGATGATGAAATCCGTAGCAGATAACACTATCACTTAATGTTAATTCATATACAACCTGAACAATGCCGTCAATCGTTATCAGGCGAGAATCTCCTTGTTCATAATTGAATCCCTATCATTAGATTTTATAACGGCAAAAAGCTACTACAGTTAACTTACCCTAAAAAACATGTATGGCAATATCGGCCATCCACATTTGATTGTATTATATATTTTCCGTAGATTTCTAACGTCGCATACGTCCAAGGGCAGAACATGAATCTCTTTTAAGCCCATTCGTTTCATTATTGCTCACTGAACCCTGCGGTTTACTTATCCGTATTAGTATGTTCATCCACCGATAAGTCAGAGTGTGTCCCCTGAGACCAACTGCAGAAAGGATAGGTGGGTAATTTACATTTCTCCAGCAGTGCCATCATCTCAAGCACCATAGGCTAGCCATAAGCATCTGCCTCTGCAATACAAAAACCTCTAATCAATTTGCTAACTGTGTGCCCGCTTGAATGTCGTACCCGTCATGTTTTGTTGGGTAGGCACTTGTCAGTGGCGTTCTTCCTTTGCTGCCGATTTATTGGTCCGTCCATTAAAGCCCCGACCATAAACTGAAAGCCAAAGCGAATTCGACAGCTGCATTGGAAGGCTGAGTTCGTGACCGCGAAGCAGCGAACGTATGGCTACCACGGCCGATGCCACTGCTTTCACTGGGGACATTCCGGCAAATTTGTCACCCCCTCCACCTTCGGCCCACCCCCGCTACTCCGTTATTTTGCTCTTGTTTTTCGTCACCGGGTTCATCCTATTCACCTTGTTTTTTTAGTAGTCCTCCTGTTCCGACTGCTACTCCTGCTGCATTTGTCGCTATGGAATCTGTTGTTGTCTCGGCCGCTGCTCTTGCATTGACGGCCATTGCTGTTTTTTTGCAGTTGCCAACGGATCGTCAGCGACGACTACAACACAACGGGGGATGGATGGGTGAGGGGTACCTTTACCTTTGCGCGGTCGTGCCCTATGTGACGTTCTTGCGTCTGCTGCTGCGTCTGCCGCGGCGTTTTACCGTAGGAATTACAGCAGCGGCAGTAAGAGTGGGGTTGTGGGAATATGTGAACATTTCGACGTTTTTTAATCATGATCAGAATAACATCAACAGCTGCTGCAATAATAATAATTATTATTATTATTACAAAATTATTATTATGGTAATAAAGGTGAGCAATCGACGAGGCAGTATTGGACAGGGCGAGTACCGCATAGGTATCTATTGGCTTAAGACGACGTTTGTCGACGAAGCGCTGTGTCACGGTAATCGTCATCGCATCCATATGTATCTTCATATAGACAGTTTTTCCTTATACAATACAATTGTAGGATATAGGTTGCGGGTTTGATCACTGCTGTTCATAGAGGAGCGTCAATAGAACGTGGTACCATAATGATAAGAGAAAGTGAGATATACTGAGCTGAAATTGAGTAACTTGGACATTGTCACCCGTTGAAATCGATATTTTTGTGATACTTGAGCAGACTTAGAGAGACAAAAACGACACTAAAATGGATGGGAAGAGGGTTCGATTATGGCACTAGATTCAGCACAGCAGGACATCCATTATTCTGTCACTTTCAGGCTGTCCACTTAATTGATGATAATGACTTATTAATTAGAAGAGCTGTTGATCGCCAAATTGCCTATATAAAAATGCACGTTGAAGTCATGAAGCGAAAAATGAACGTTGTTGCAGTCAGAAAAACAGAACGAGCCGCCAAATAGGGAAAAATTTAAACGATAGTTTTCTATACACCAGAAACCATTAACAAGATTATTTTCAACGTATGACGTATTTCGACGTATTTGATCAGTCAGCGCTTCACTATTATTGCGCTATAATATAATAACAGCTGATAATGGCAGCCATATTTCAAAGCGAACGCACTAATCTCAAACAGCCAGTGCTATCAGGAACTCGATCTTCCTCACACCTTCTAGCCGAATCCGGCCTGTTACAAAGGTAAGCAGGCATATTCAGGTAGGATTGCGGGCCGAATATTGTGCTCGTTCTACAGTAACTTACCTAAAAGCGAAAAATCACATTTAGCGCTTAGCAGAAATGCTAGAGAATTCGATTATCCAAGTTAATAGTGTTTTTCTGCCCATCGTGCCTGGAAGCTACGTACACAATAGCAACTTCTATTCGAGTGTCGTTCTTTTTTGTGTTATTGAGGAAACTTGTTCCATTGCGTTAGTACAAATAAGGGAACAATAATCGATATGGTATTTCGAAGCCTTGAGAAAAAAATCACGGTGCCTTCAAAACGCCTGTCCTATTTGTGCTTTTCTAAATCTGTTGTTTCATATCTTCATACCACACTAGCCTGTGGCTTTCGACAAAGAATTAATATTTCGCACGGTCTACGGGTAGATGCAATACAATGTGTTATTTTTTAGTATTTATTAATGCCTCTTGTTGATTAAAAACGATTAAAACGTTGACTTTATCAGCGAAACAATTTCAGCCTATGGAAGGCAGTTCTCAAAGAGATACTATCTAAATATAGGACCCTCATGTCGGGTTGACCCTTAAGCTATAGTAAACTTGGCCAAGCAGCCACTAATCTATTGATAGCAAGCGGTGATTGGCTAATTGTTTGCGCATTTTATTAATAGTAGACAAAAATGATACGACCTATGGAAACCAAACACGAGATAACACGCCTTCTAGACAGTGGCAGGTTTCAATTAGAAGTGTTATTAGCGGTGCCACTATCTGAAACTGTCATCGGAATTATGATCTGATACGATCCGGATTGAATGGCCACTTGTTTAAACGTGTTATGGCACAACTAGTACGTGTGTAAAATAGATTTAATTATCTCTCCCTTAGACTTTACTTATATTTCAATGGTCGACAAAAGCGAAACTGCTTTCGAACATAGCGCCGTTATCCAGGCGACTTCAAAAACATTTTACGAAGACGATTTATAGTATTTTTGTTGCCACTAAAACCAACGTCCGCAACTTGTCTACAATTAGTCGTTCCATCTTCATTCATCTAGATCATGCTCCTATATTATACGTACTAGGAACGCATCGTTCCCTAAATGCAAACATAAGTACTTTTAGGACAACTTGTTATATACCAATCCACTTCTTTTCAAGTCTACAATTTTTAAGCGGGCTTTTTCCAACCTCCCAGTTCCCGAATCGCACTACTAGCCTACAGAGCAGCGCGCTGAAGTGTCAACTAGCTCCCATGTCGATTAACGTAAGTTCAGTACAAAGAAGGCCAGTACATAGTTAACCTATCATCTTCTTAACATTGCGCGACATGTATGAACCAGCGAGATTATTTCGATTCAGCGTGAAGATTCGGCTCATCTTGAATGTTTGGCCTCCCTGCCTTCGGCCTTCATACGGCCAACAGTTGTTCGCGAATTGCTCACTATCTAACAATATTGATTGTTAGGGCTTCTTGTGGAAGTTGTAACCATTCAACAAGAACGACTACGAACGCTCACGGGGGAAAGTCCTTTTGGGCCATTCGTTATGTAAGAAGCTGATGCACTGACGAGCGAACAGGCCAATTTTACTGTTTGTTAAGGGCTGCATCAATCACGAGATCCCCTGGCAACGCTCCTGGTTCCATTCTTTTTTTCTTTCGACGATAGCCACAAACTGAAGCCGAGTGAGGGCCATGCTGTGATTATTGCACGGAAGCTGGGTTATAGGATACATGGGTTGGTTTTTTTTTGTGTTTAAATTATACAAACTGAATCGTATATGTGTACGTGTTTTGTTTGAACGACGGCTGTACGCTATTTATTATGGCGGCCTTTCACCTTTGTCTTACATGTCTCCAAGATAATTTACGTTTACTGAAATCGTACGTTTGAACATTAGGTATCAATGAGGATAGACTATAGGAAAGTTATCGGCTGACGCTAGCCAATATAAAGACTAGATATGGTCAATACAACACTCTCTAAGCGCCTTTCGAAGAAAACCACCTTAAAACAGACAGAGCCGCTGAAATCGTCGCAATATTGTTGACATATTGTTGTTAAGCTGGATATTGTGTGGCATTACATTTTTTAACAATAGTTCAAAGAGAATTTGTTCCATTTAATGGCATCCCATCAGGAATATAAGTGCACAGTAGAAAATGGCGCAATAATCATTGATGACACTCCACAATAAGATCAAATGTTCTGCTGTGGCATTGTTAGGTACTTGTTAAGATTTTCGCTACGTCATCGATTTACTAATGTGCGGTATCGAGCCACGGAGCGAAAGCGTCCACGTACCTGATCGGTAACATCACCATAGTTGAAACCATTTGATTTAGGGTGGCAATCGTCACTGAGGTAGTGTTTCTGCCGTTTCACACATGCGCACAAACATAATGTCTGTATTATATAAATCAATTGTTTTCAGTGCAATGTGAAAGATGGAGACGGTACACGCTCCTAGAAAGCGATCTCTCGTGTTATCGAAAGCTATATTAGTCGTCGCTTCTACGTATCCGTTTCCACAGTTCATTGACTAGCGATGTTTATGTATAATGGACAGCAGACAAAATTTTCACGAATCCAATATGTATTACTACTGCTGCTGTTGTTGTTTTTTTCCTTTTGTTACTGTACTACGGCGGCTGTGGATGTTCAGCCACGTTTGGTGTTACTATCTGTCCCATACCAATGATATCAATAGCGGGTGAGACGCCCATGGTCGGCTCTGTCTAGGATTCCTTTACCTGCAGCTAGCTTAATGTGCCAACAGGATTAATGACCGTCAAAGTTACTACGAACGAAAAGGGAACCCGTCGTTATACAAATATCCGAACGGTGGACATGCGTCTAGGCCGGCCCTTCCGACAAACAACTCCGCAGCAGCTCGTTACAATCGACAGAAACGGGTAAAGGTAACAGACATCATGGTGTCGTAGCTGGCTATATTCTCGTCTGTCTTCATCGGCTATAACAGAAACCATATTGATTCGCATATTGGTTTTGAAGAAATTCATTCATACATTCAATGAATGGATGTATCTATTCGTTAGGATAGGAAATTGATTTTGATGAGGAAAAAGGTGAAGAGTCGACCCCTTAATCGCGTAAATCGTTCCCAGTAAACCCCCCGTATTTATAGGTTTCGTTTGTCGCTTACTATGTGGCAACTTTAGGCTTTGGTATCGATAAATCCACGTAACCTCTAACCTCCAAGGCGAGCGTTCGCGACCTTTGCGCGACTAGGATCTCATCGACAAGCGAGCATAGTTATCTTTGTCTTCGAAAGCTTTTGTTTGCGGAGCAAAACAAGCTTTATAAAATCATTGTTGTCAACGAATCGATCAGCACAGAGAAAGGTAAGCCTGAATACGTCAGACGATAAGTAATTCCATCTCCGGTAGACGTCCCGATTTATATAGGAATATTAACGGAGGAATCTTTACGTCAGCGAACAATTTGCGACGACCGAATGGAATACTCCGTTGGTCAGCGCCCCATACACTATAGTGCTTTGCGATACAGGCAATATCGATATCACTTTATCAGGCGCTGCAGCCTGCGGCAACAGACCGTCATCGCTGTATGTCCTACAGATCCGCGTATTACGCCGAGGAGCAAGGCGCGCTTTGTCTAGCGGGTCATTGTTTACTGACAGAGCAAAGAAGCATAGCAATGAAAAGGCAGCGTGCAGCCTGTAGGCTGAGTCAAAGGTGGGGAGCGGGGTAGCAATAATGTGGGAAAACGGACTTCGCCTTGCCGATTTTTATTCTGTGTGAATACTTGCAGCTGCTTCATGAGGACGCTCATTTCTTTGCCTTGTAATGTTAACTGGACAACCGTACGCAAGTGGGAATCATACAGTTGGGCGCACGCAGCACTCGAGCGGTTACATCACTAATCTACTTAAATATATATGATGTTTACATGACTGAATACTGCATTCAGTGTACAGATAGTCGCATGATGATTATATAATGCTGAGTATGCGGCAACTACGATGCTATCAACAAAGGATTTTTGCTCGAGCGATATTTGCATCGTTCGTACGTAACTAAGGGCAACCTGATTCAAATAAATGTAATCAATCAAGCTGTTCCCTAATCAGGACCAACGCGTCGCTCCACAACGGCCTCTTATTTCTGTGCTTCGTGTGACGACTGCGTGTCTGGTGGAAGTGCCGCCAATGCAAAATTTTTACACGACAATACTTTACGCCATGTCACAGTCACACAGATGATATTCACGTTAGAGTTATCGAGGGTTTCGTCGTCCTTTTCAAACGCTGCGCGCCAATTATACTGACAATGACGCTTGCGTAATATTCTTTCTAGGGAGGAGTCCACTGGCCCACTCGACACGTTCCGCAAAGGCGTCAACGATAGAACATCAGCAAAGTGGATATTAGTCGAGTTCATCTGTAAGTAAGATAGTGCCTGTAAATGGTTGTGACACCCCGATATGTGTAACAGCCTCCAGGATCTATTTCGTCAGACAGCTGGTATGAACAAACAAAGTTAAAAAGTTAACCGTATTACAGGGACTCTGATTTTAAGTTAAGCCACGGAAACCCTCGATCTGTAGAAATAATTCATTTTCCGTTTTATGCTAGCGGTTGTTTTTTTTTTCGCTGCTGTTATTATCGGTGTTATTGTTGCTTGCATCGAGTGGCGATTAACGTTCGTCGACTGACCGACCTTACCAGTTCTATTGCCGTCTCCGTTCGCCTTCGGATTTTCTGCAGTTTTACAGCACAGTTTCTCTCGTCTGAGCCAAAGAAGCCGTGGGGGGAATGTTTTGGTCGTAGTAGAGTAGTTAAATTCAGCTTGAATCAGTTTTGGTGTCCATGTTTATTCTCCGATATGACAGTCGAATGCGGCCTCGATTGTTATTTGTGTATTCACATGGGCCAATAAGAAATGTTATTTCTTGGAGTATGTTTCATATTTCTACATGTATCTAATATATGGGTCCGTATTAGTCCGCCGGTCTAAATATATTAGCGATGTTTGTCGGCACACGTTGACTTCGATCTGCTACACGGACGGAGCACTTTGGCGCACCACAGATCGACGCTTATTCCTATATTGTCCCAACTGTCGGCCCGTAGTGATACTAACCGAGAACAAGGGATAGAGATATGGTTTTAGTGGGTGTAAGGGTTTGCAGCACCAATTTTGTTTGGTCAGAGAGAGCCATTTAGGCAGCCGATCCGTGAAAAAAAGAAAGTATTTTTTTGAACAAAAATATGGAAAGACCTCTGTTCTCGATTTACAGATCTTCTATTTTGCCTATATGGCAGTGCGACCAACTCGAGCTACTGCCATAAGCCAAAGAAACAGACGCAGCCGACAAAAGGAAAACGATACAAATATCGGCTAGATCTAAGTCACAGCAAATGTCAGACATTTTAGAACCAAATGGCAGCTGTCTGACAACGAGAACAGATCGAATCCTGTAAACCAGAGGCACTGAAAATCAACGGGGGTATCGTCTTAACCGGAACTTGGCACGAAACAGGACGCAGCAGCATCACTTACCTTTCTGCTGTCTCTATCTAAAGCAAAATTGAAAAAAAAAAAAAAAAAAAAAAGATTATATGTATATCGTCGACCGAAAATATCTAGGCATGGCGCTTCTGAAAAGTGATATACTGGTAACTTAATTTTACTTACCGTTCCTTTGGAGATTCGTTATTCTATAAGGATCGTTTCCATCTGTTCCGATAGGTATTATCGTTTCTAACGTAACGGAGAGGATGAGACCAATTTTAAGTTAGCGCTTGGTTAAATCCGGAAAACTTGCACTAGTTATATCGCTGTAACGCGACCCATGGAACAGTTGATTATCAGTCTTACCTTAATCTATGTTACAGTGAACACGTGCACTTGGCAGTGACATGTTAGTTAATAAAACAAGTAGAAGCACTTCATGCTTCGATTCTCTCTGTCGGTACCGAAAATGAAATTGAGCTTAGAATTAGGCTGGATACGGACTATTGTCTTGGCTGAAATACAAATGTTCTTTGTTTTTTTTTTTTTTTTTCATTTTTACAGAGGTATACACACCTATAGTTTCACGGCATTCACAATATTCACTACGATTTAAAAGTAAGATTTAAACAACTAAAAGTTTTTCAAGTAGTTAACACCTCTAAGATACCTATTACATGCTACTATAAATATATGATACGCGTGTTTGTTCATAGTATACAAACGTCTGTCTGCTTCCTTATCAGGATAGGTGTCAAAGTAAAATCATAGAATCGTGGGAAAGAAGTAGTTTGCCAACAGCCTGAGCTGGTGCTAAATATATCAGTCTACAATATGGATCACTCAGAATCATAAGAACGTGACATGGCTGATTTCTAGCCAAGGAACTTGATTAATTCTGGTACCCATTCGATCGTTCTTTGTCAGTAATGCCCAAGTGGGCATGTTCACTCATTAAGGGAAAAAATCGCGATTCGAACGCTTTCGAGCGGCCTACTTTGGCCGACAAGCGTTGCTGTGAAAGTAATCGTGAAGCACACGTTACTGTCATCTATGGTCGCGCCTCAAAGGAAGGAACAAGTTAACCTATTTGAATTCAACACTCTACACGTTATATAAAAGGCCGCGCTCAAGCATGGAATAAGTAACTGTAGTTTCATATTTAGAGGCAGCTTGGTGCCCGTATGAACTATGAAAGATATATTATACACTGTTCTGCTGTGGGGCGATGGCAACTGGGTTACCTGACGGTAGGAGGAAATGCATAATAACTGCGACATTGTCACAGGGTCGAATCGTCTGCAAGAAGGATCACACTTGTGTTCACAGTGAATAGCAGCAATTATTTTTAAAACTACAGGACACCTTGACTTATAAGTAACTTTATAAGCTATTCAGCACTACGGGGGAGCAATGCGTCGTTGGGGTCTCCAACTGGGATTTTAAGTAGGTGGTTTGGCTTTTTTTTTTCTTTTTTTTTTTTTTCGAACATGTGACGCGTATTTAAAAAAATGTTTACCTAAGTGTGCGTAGAAGTTGAAGTTGTGCTCCCTTAGAGATGGTTGCTTGTAAGTATAATAAGCATTTTTGCGAGGCTATATTGCCAGAACTTCTAACAATTAGCATTTGTTGTCAGTGAAACGTCATCGGCGGCAACGTATTTTTTTTTGTAGTCATGAGGTGCGTCTCGAGCATGCATAATTATCAATTCGTGTGTTTGTAAGAGAACAGAAAATTTCGTTGACAAAATCTATGTTTGTACTAACAATGCAGATGCTGTAATGTTTTTTTTTTGGCCACATCGATTTAGATTCAGATTGCCTTTGCTTGAAACTTATTTACTGAGCTGGCTATTAAACACAGAATTTTTTTCGTCGGTTGTTACAGGCCGATGAAAGTTTTAGTTGAACTGCGCCTTTTCAAGCGCACGTTGATTGCTTTGTGTTTCAACCGTAAAAAAAAACACATTTCAATGCTGATAAACTTAAATCCTGTGAA